TCGTCATAAGCGTTGCACAAGTTCACCAACGTCGTAAGCACGCCGAATAGAACCGATTGATCACCAGTCTTGGCAATCTCGATCATCGTATGAATGGCTTCTTGATCCTCGATCAACTCCGCTTTGATCTTGGCGTTAAAAGTAAGATATGACAGACCTTTTATGGCCAATTTTCTCATATTTTTTTCTTTCTTTGGATTAATCAACAATCGTCTGCAAGCCTTGGCTAATTCCTTAGTCACTCCATCTGCAAACGGTCTGATAGTCGCGTCTGGGTCTCCGGAACTACCTAACTTACTTAAACCCAGTAACGCTCGAACCCGAATTGAATCATCCTTAGATTGACACAGCTTTTTCAATATATTCACACCTCGGTTTATGATCGCGTCGACCTTGTCTTTTCTGGTCACAGCGGCAACGATACATTCGAGAGCCACTGTCTGCTGCAATATATCATCCGTTCCCGCCATAACGAGGATCATCTCTAAAATCCCTTCTTTAGCCACAACTACGTTTCCAACATCTGACGGGCCGAATAATAAGGTTGTTATCGCAACTACAACACGCACCTGTAAAAGAATCGATGAGCTATTAAGTTTTACGTTTCGTGAAAAAATATCAATTTAAAATCAAGAAGGCTACAGTGTTATTTAATTTTGATAGAAAATAGGAAAAATTTCTGGTAAATTACATTTCAGAAAATACTACAAATGACAAAGTCATATTCTTTGGTAAATTTTGATTAAACTGATATAATCGTATTTTAATTTAAAATTCACAGAATATATACAATATCAACAATTGAAAAAAAATTTTCTGACATTATTACTTTTTTTTAATTTTTAATTGCTCAAATAGGCTATAGTAAAAAAAAGATACTCGGCTTTTTATTTTGAAACAATTCAAATGATAAAAAAGATCAAAAGTTATAAAATTCATACTTTAGATTGTATGTCAGGCGAATGCAATTTATCTTCAATAAATTCATCAATGGCGTTGGTAAATGTTTTCTCATCATCATAGTTCTTACAAACGTTTTTATATACCATTGCTAAGCACACACTGGTTATAGTTCGCGTGGAAGACGTGATGTTTAGCAAAGACTCAGAATTGTATTCCTCCATTTCACTGGCTACCTCCATTAATCTTTGCACACCACGAAGTTCGACAAATCGTTTGGCCCAGTCTAACATAGTTACGCAATGAATGTTACCCGTAATAAGTTTTATTATTGCGTCTCTAGCAGGGCCTGTCATTGTTCTACTTGTTACACTGTACAACAAACACAACATAATCGTGTCTATTTCCTTTTGCGCCTCGCATAAATCCTCGTTGAGATTTGAGTCGGGTTTATTATTCATGTCGATGTATGTGTTTAATATGTTCTAAAATATACAATAAACTTTTAATTACTAAAATACGTATAAAATAACTACATGTAT